ACGGTGCCTGGTGCACAGCAAATGTGAACAAAAGTTGGAAACTTGAAAGAACTCTCTCTAGGGGAGGCCTTGGAGAGCGCTCCAGTCGTGAGTGGGATTTGGAGCTCTGGAGAGGCTGTCTCGGCCCACGGAGATCTGCAGTAAAGGCCAGAGATTGAAGCCCAACATGTCTGCGAGAAGGCAGCATCGGCTCCCTCTAGTTGCTGATTGGATTCCTTGACCTGAGTTGGGCAGGCCTACTTTGTTGGACCAAATTGGCCAGATCTAGCTGGTCAGGAGGTGGTGACCTTTATCCCTCCATCCAACAGGAGCAGGACGCAGTGAGAACCACCTGATGGAGCAGAGTCCTCAGACCACGGCCAGTCTGTGCCACATCCTTTGAGACTTGGCCCGCAGCAGAGAGCAGTTTGGGAGAACAGCCTATTACAGATGGTCACTGCCTGCAGTGCACTCCCTGCAGTTATTAAACCAAAGGGCATCCAGAGGAGTCACAGTAACACTGGTTAACAAACGGTTCATTTAAAAAGATAACACAGGTGAGATAAAATTGTAGCAAAGGGAGCCGTATCTGAACCAGATAATGTAAACGTTAATGCGGACATTCATTAAACTTGCAAACAAGCACGGAAAGACAGAAGCGCTAAAAACAAAAAGGAGAAGAAAACTAGTCACCAGAACAAATAATGTCAACCTGATTGAAACAGGTGTGTCTGTACGCAGAGCAGGGTCCGGCCAACATCTTCTGTCACAGAGGTCCGACAGTAAATGGTCTAGCTCTGCAGGGGACGTGGCCTCCACATCCTGTCCATTCAAAGCTGGATGGAACTTTATCTTCATAAACCAGTGCCTCTCGCTGGCCACGCCCTGCCCTGGAAGCTCAAGGACCAGGTGTGGGCTCTAGGGGCCTTCCAGGCTGGTAACAAGCCTACGGGCCGCAGGACGAGACGCCACCGGGTCCCTCGACCACCTCCTCATTGTCCTTAGGGTTCAGTCCATTGCTGCACCCTCCGTAGCAGTCTACTTTGTGATCATTAAGGTGTATCCCCTTGGCTCGGCCATGGTTCTCAGCGGTCGGGCAGGTAGACTAGAGCCACCCCCTGTGATCGGATCTAGAACGGTGCAATCGTGCGCATGATCAGATCTGCTGCGAGCAGCCCATCAGCTGACACGGGGAGTTTCCTTCAAGGTATGGCCTGTGAAGATGGGCAGACGTCCTCTCACGTGCTTTGGACGTTTCACGAGGGACCAGTCCCTGGAGAAGTAAAGTAGAGGGGCAGCAAGAAAGAGGCAGGCCCTCGATGAGATGGATTGACCCAATGGGCGCAAACAGGAACAATGGTGAGGCGAGCGCAGGGCCCGGCGTGTTTTGTTCTATTGTGCGTAGGGTCGTTATGGGTTGGGACCAACGGGATGGCATTTAGCAACAGCAGCAACAGCACACATACATACAGACGCTGGTTTTCCACAGCCCATCTACCAGTGTGTCCGACTGTGACGCTGGGAGCTGGGAGCTGGAGCCGTGCTTAGGTGTCATTGTGCTGGTCCTGACTCCCAGTGACCCGGTGTACAACCGAACGAAATACTGCTTCATCCCCACAGTCATGGTCAGGTTCCAGCCCATCGTTGCAGTCACAGTATCAATCCAATTGGTCAAGAGTCGTCCTCTTTCTTGTTGCCCCTCCTCTTTGCCAAGCATGATTTCCTTTCCAGGGACCACTCTTTCATGAGAACATGTCCAGAGTACATGAGAAGATGTCTTGTCAACCTTGCAGCTAAGGAGCATTCTGTTTGGCTCCTTCCAAGACAGATTTGCTTGTTCTTTTGGCAGTCCCCGGCTCTTCAAATATTCCTCGCCTGAGCTAGCATCATAATTCACCGGCAAGGCTGGGAGTAGCCACTGAGATTTCTAATACCACCAGGGTCACCCACGGTAAGCAGGTTTCACGTAGCTTCTGCGTAAGAACAGGTGGGGCAGAGGACTAGGCTGTCCCCTTCCGAGGGATTAACTTCTGAAAACTTGATATAAAGCAGCAGGATGTGCTTTGACTTAGTGCTGGACGACGAGTCCTCGGGCTAGCAGATGCTCAAAATAGGACCAGGGAAGAGTTGTCTTCTCAGAGGTGGCCTTAATGACGGAGCCAAGTCCCATGACCTCTGTTTTGCTGAAGTGACGTGACTCCAAACGAGAAAGAAGCCCTGCCAGCACCCACGAATCTTCCGAATGTGCAATAAAGGATGGATGATTCCAGGAAGATCAGAAGTTGTAAAAAGGACAGGAAACACTAAAGATAGACACCCTAGACATTACTGAGCGGAAATGGACTACTGGTATCGGTCATTTTGAATCGTATGATTTAAGAGGAATGGGTCAAATCAGTCATCACAAAGAACATTTTAAGATCTATCTTGAAGTGCAGTGCAGTCTGTGATAGGATAATAACCATACACGCACAACGATTGTTCAAATGTATGCACCAACTCCCAAAGCCAGGGGTGACCAAGTTGAAGAACTCTACTAGTTCTTAGGTCTGAAATTGCTTAAGCATGCAATCAAGAAATCGCTTAAACATGCAATTGATATTCACCGGTGACTGGAATGCAAAAGTGGGAAAGAAAGAGGAAGGATCAGTCGCTGGAAAATAGGATCTTGATGGTGGAAATGAAGCTGGAAAACGTATGATCATTTTGCAAGACCAATGACTTCATTCCAAATGCCCTTTTCCAACAATATAAACGCCTACTGTAGTCACGGACCTTGTCAGATGGAATTCAAAGGAATCAAACTGACAACATCGGTAGGAAGAGCAGATGCAGAAGCTCAGTATCAGCAGCTGAAACAAGGCCAGGGGGCGACTGTGGAAGAAACGATTCACTGCCCATCGGGTTTTAGCTGAAGAAAATGAACCAAGTCCATGAGAGCCAAACTCAGACCTTGAGTCTATCCCGTCTAAATTTAGAGGAAACTTCGAGAACAAATCGAATGCCTTGAATCCGATGAAGACCCAGTGAGCTGTGAGATCCCATCAAGAACCACCAGCCATGAAGACAGCAGAAGGTCATTAAAAAGACAGGAGAGAAAGACGAGGTCAAAAAGGATGCGACAAGAGACTCCGAGTCTTGCTCTTAAGTACAGAGAAGCTGGGGGCATGATGAAGCGTGAGAGCGGAACAGAGCATTTCAAAGGACAGCTCAAGAAGACAAAGAATTACAATGAAAGGTGAGAAGACTTGGAACTAGGAAAACATGCTCCGTATTCCTCTTCCTGAAAGGACTGCAGAAGAAAGACATTCAACTCTCGAGCTGTAAGACTGAAAGATTCCATGGGCAACATATGTAACGACATAAGGAGGATCAACAGAAGAGGGAAGGAACACACAGAGTCATTGTCCCAAAAAGAACTGGTCGGCATCCATCCATGTCACGAGGTGGTGTGTGATGGAGACCCCATCGTGTTGAAAGAGGAAGTCAAGCTGCGGGGAAGGCATCGGTGACAACAAGGCTC